TCTGTTTCATACTTAGCGTGCAACGCTGTCAAAGCTACTGGCACGAGCGTGGGGCTACTGGCACGAGCGATCATTTGCACGCGTCCTCGTGCAAACAAAACCATAGAGGAAGTCACGCGCTCGCGCCAGTAGCTTTGACAGCGTTGCACGCCAAGTATGAAACAGAGTATAGGACAGTCGTATAGCAGACGACAGATACGCATTTTGGTCACGCGCAAAATTTCTGTAAAAAGTACGGTCTTGCAGTCATCGCGTCCTTATTTCAGACAGCACCGTCAAAGTTGACAGTCTGGCAATGCTCTTTTAAGAGCCTTTCAGTTCCGCGAATGAAATCTCCACCCTGTCCTTCCATAATCCCTTATCTGTCATCAGTGTCAGTAAACAGTTCTAGGATCCCGTCACGATTGAATGCCTTTATCAAATATACTTCACTTTTTCAAGAGTTCATGAGGTATTCATTTTCTCGATAAATATGTTTTCTCACTCACTTACTTAGAAGTAGTCCTACTAAAGACGTCACAGTGAGCGTTTGGCCAATGCTTGAAGGAGAGCCACTGCAACGTTTTGGGTCGCGCACGTCAAGGCGTAGGCGGAAACTACTACGAGGAGAAGGGGGGGGGGGGGGGGGGCGGAATTTGAAAACTTTCCGCCGAGTTCGGCTCCCGTGTACTGTCACCACTTTCCCTCTTTCTGAGTGTATCCGCACTGAGTATCAGTTATAATCTGTGAAGAGGTACACGTGGCAAACGCAATGAGCATCGTTTGTTTTTGTTTTGTTTTTTTTGCATTGGGGGGGGGGGGGGGTATTTTTTCTTGGCCATTTTGCAGCATATGAACTACACATTTTTTTCTTGAGGCGACCGCGCGTTTAAAGGGATACTGAACCAAACATTTCAGTGTAGATAATAACTGGCGCACTATCTTTCCGTAAGTCCGCAACCGCCGGTGTGCGCGAGCACAAAACGAAATTGACGTCATCATATCCCCCATTCGAGCTTATGAGGCTCGAATGGGGGATATGATGACGTCGATTTCGTTGCGTGTGCTCGCGCACACCGGCGGCTGCTGACGCATGGAAAGATAGTGCGCCACCTATACACCAACTCATGTTTACAAACAAACCGGAGCGCCTCTAGCGGACGCCACCGGCGCCGCGCATGCGCGGTGGATGGTGGGCAAGAAGCCCGCCGTCGCCCATAAACAAACCATTGAATTGCGTTGTTGTCGGCGTCGGTGGGAGTCCCCGTGCTCTTTTTCGCGTTGGAATTGTTGATGCTACGTCCTCCTAACAATGTCTGACTACTTGAGCGGCTTCAGCAAAACTAACGAGGCAAAACTTTGCGTGAATAATGTGAAGTGCGGCGATTCATTTCACGTAAACGCCGCAGAATGGGCGCTAAAGCCCGACTCCCACGATGAGATTCTGCTCGCTGTTTTCAGACGCGACGTTGCTCGGACTGCAAAAGCGTGGACCGTAGCTGAGATGGTGGACGTCGATACTGAAAACCGCAAGTAGAATCGGGCATTACAAGTCGGTGATGGCCACTGGTAACAATAATGATAAACATCTTCTTGTATCTGTTTACACTTAGCCTACTTACCCCAACCAACCTTCAAAAGTGTTTTGAGGCCTGCACTTAGTTCTTATCGCAATTACCGGGTCAACGTTTGGTTTCCGGGCCGCTGCCGTTTGAACGAGCTGACGACAAAAAGCAGCCAAGTTTGAAAGAGCAGACGACAGTTCGAACGCATGCGTAATGGGGTACGGGCAAGAAGCACCGCGTCCCGCGTCAACAAACCACTCGAATGCCGTTGTCGGCGTCTGTGTGAGTCTGCCTACTCTTTTTCGCGTTAGAATTGTTGATTCTACGTCCTCATCGCAATGTCTTACCACTTTAATCGCTTAAGCGAAATTATCAAGGCTCGTTACGCCGCTAAACTTTCCGTAAATAATTTGACATGCGGCGATTCATTCGCATGAACGCCGCAGAATGGTCGCCAAAACCATGATGAGATTCTTCCAGCTATTTTCGGTAGCGACGTCGCTCGTGTTGCAAAAGTGTAGAAGGTAGCGGCGATGATCGACGTCGATACTGAAAATCGGAAGCGGGAACAGACCAAGCGTAACAAGTCGGTGATGACCACCGGTACCAATGATCAACATCTTGTATCTACTTTTTACACCGAGCCTACTTAAGTCTTTTGAGGTCTGCAATTACTTCTTATTGCAATCACCGGGTCAAAGTTTGGTCTACGGGCAGCTTTTGTTTGAACGAGCAGACGACAAAAAGCAGACGTTTTAAAGAGCAGACGAAAGTTCGAACGATCAAGCGGCCGTGTGAATTTGAAGACGCACTGAACCCGTGGGTGGTTCGGACAACTTGGCGGTTTTCTCTCGTTTATGTTGGAACAAAGCAAATACATCTGGCGACCACAAAGTGTTGCCCGCGCACGCAATCGTAGTTCAACAGCGTCTGGTTTGCCCTTTTCACGGCTACAATCCACGTTCTCGGACGAACGGAGGGGGCAAAAACACATGAAAACTGATCTTCAAACCTTTCCAGACTCTCTTTGTACAACCCCCGTCGCAGCATTTTGACGAGAAAGCAGGTTTTTTGTCTCGTTTCTTCCAAGGGAACACAGGAATGCATGTCTGGCACGGCGACTTCTGCCCACCGCCACAGACCGGAAGTGCGTCCGGCGCGCCACCACCGCGGCGTGACGTAGAAAGTTGAGTTTTTGTATAGAAACTGAAATGTTTGGTTCAGCATCCCTTTAAAGGCGCTATTATTAGTGGTTCTAGACAAACTCTTCACGGTTTTAGTTTATTTAAAACCCGGTCTAAATATGAATTGTCTCTGTCGTTTTGCTGATTATTCGCGGATCCCTTAAGGACAAGTAATGAAATCTGTGGAGGACGACTTCTTTAAAGTATATATATATATATATATATATATATATATATATATATATAGGACCTGCACTCTGGGAATCGTTATTTTCGCTGTTTTACGCGGGAAGCGTGAACGGTTATGTTATCTAACGTACTTTTAGAGACTGGCAATATGGACGCTTTACACACGCGCCAGAATACACCCGCCATTGCTGTCCTTCTCTTGTTTTACCGAGATACCGAGCTACTAAAATTGGTGTGGACGAGCCTCCACAAAGGCCAATGCTGGGGAGAAAGACGGAATAAAATCTAGGATGGCAATGGGACCTAGCCTGCTATGGTAATAATGTAGTGAAGTAAACGGAATCAGAGGAGACAAAAACTGAAGGTCAGTTATGGCGGCGCCCATGCACAGCTGCTGCAAACCGTCTATACGTTCTGCGAGTAATCACTGGCAGCCATAGCCGAGTCCACAGCTGCTTTGCGCGTGCTTACGCCTTGCTTCCAAGGTCATTTTGCAACGTGCATTCCACTGCCTCAAGGCCGGTTCAGACACTTGCGTTTGAGTGCGTTTGACTGCGTTGCGTCGAGAACCGAAAGCGAGTCACCGGCACATCTGTGCTTCGTATAAAGCGTGGACTCCAATTCAAGGAATCATCATGGCACGCGATATAAGCACCAGAAATGTCCTGGTTTCTCGCTGCCGCAACGCAGTCAAACGCAGTCAAACGCAACTGTCTGAACCAGGCTTCAAGGTGAGCTCGTTCTGTGCATGCGTTGTGAAAAGCGCACTAAATTATGGCGCCCAGTGAATACCCCTGCGCAATGCGCGACGCAGTTAGCGCGAACACGATACTGGCGCATTGGGAAGCGCCGAATGTTACCACTTAGGTTGGTGACCCGAATGAAAACTTTACACCCCATTATAGTAGTGTTTTGATGACAGCCTTGCAACTCTCAAGCCGGGATTACACTGCTTAGACATCATACAAAAGGTAGTCTGCATGCAGATTCGAACGCGAGTCTTGGCGAGATCCGTGCTTCGAATGCCCCGTGGCAATGAGTTCAAGGATAAAAGTTAGCACGCGGCATTCGAACCACGGTCTGACGGCTGACTCGCGTATGCAGACTGCCTTTTGTATGATGTGTGAGCAGTGTGACCCCGACTTTAGAGATAAACTGGAAAAACTAGCAGTCCCTTGTTCGCGCTGCAAGTCAGTATGGAGCCTGATCCAGTGAAAAGTTAGTGCTGCATGCAGTTTCGCACTCTGCACATGCCTCGGCGTTCCCAAATGCTATCGATTAAGTTACAATTAGGGATGTGTTTGTAATTGTCCCCTTTTTGTTAATTCGACCAGCAAGCCCCAAAAGTGGGTGGTATTCGCAACTTTCAGCGATGGGTGGTACCGCGGTGTGAGAATCGTGCTCCCTAGCTCCTGGATGATCGGCTTCACAATAAAGGTGCTTGTCTACACCTTCCTCCCGTAAAAAAAAATGAAGTGAGGCTCTAATACTGCTTGTATGAAGAAAAAACTGGAATGACTTACCCGTCGCCGACCCCGCCTCGTACTGCATCGTACTGCATCACTGGCACCGCCGGAGCGCTGTGTGTGCGAAAGGAAGACGTGGCGCGCTGCTTGTAAGAAAGCGCTGCGGGTATGAATGCTTTCGCATTTCTACACCTGAGCAGTTTTAAGTGCCTCTGACGAATTTTGGTGAGAGTGGATTGACACGCCAAGTGGCCCGAAGTTTTCCCCAATATGCGGCACTTCTGCCGAAGTCACGATTGAAACGCTCTGGAAGCTGTTGAGTCGTTTTGACCTGCCGCGGATACGATTGTAAGTGACAGTGGCCGCCAATTTTATTCTCAAAAGTTTAAGATTTTCATGGAGAGGAGAGGATATAAATGCATTGCGATGTAAGTAAGAGTTATCTGTATGAAGGACTTTTATTCAAATAATCGACAAGACAAATTTATGGCCCGAGACTTTTCAGTTGTTTAATATACTAAAAAAAAAAGGATAGGGGGAGGGGGGGGGAGGGGGGGGGAGCAGGGCAGAGACGACGACTTGCTATGACACGCCATTCGGCGAACGCGATGCCAAAACTACAGCGTATTCTTCTGCACTTCCTTTAGAATGTTTTCCACAACTTTGCTGGTCGTAGCGTCGCCGCCCAAGTCCTTCGTGTGCACCTTGTCCCTGTTGACGGTCTTCTCAATGGCCCTCCTGATGACGACCGCGTGATCCCAGAGCTCAAGATGCTTGAGCATGTCCACGGCGGCGTAGAGGGTCGCCACGGGATTGGCCAGGTTCTTGCCAACCAGCGGGGTGCCCGTGTTCCTGGTGGCCGTCTCGAAAACAGCGTACTCTTTGCCGTAGTTGCGACCCGACGTGACCCCTGCACCGCCCACAAGACCACAGGCGACGTTGACCACAATGTTACCGTAGAGATTCGGCACGAGCATCACGTCAAACTGCGCAGGGTTGGCGACAAGCTGCATGCAGCAGTTGTCGATGATAACGTCGTTCAACTCGATGTCGGGGTACTCTTGGGCCACCTCCGTGCAGGTCTTCAGGAATAAGCCGTCCGTCAGCTTCATAATGTTCGCCTTGTGGACGACGGTCACCTTCTTGCGCATGTGGGTCCGAGCGTACTCGAAGCAGTACTTAGCGATCTGGAAGGACTTAGCCCAGGTGATGATCTTGAGCGACTCTACCACGCCGCTCGTCACCTCGTGTTCGAGGCAGCTGTATTCGCCCTCTGTGTTCTGGCGGATGACAACGATGTCGACCCCTTTGTGCTTGGTGCTGATGCCCGGATGATTTCGGCAGTGAACCACGTTCACGTACAGTTCCAGCTTGTTCCTCAGTAGAAGGTTCCTGGGTTCGACGGTCATGCTGTACGATGTGGTCTCGATGTTGCCCTTGAGTGCCACCCCGTTTCGACGTATGGACTTGATGGCGTGGTCCATGGACGAGGCGTCACCGACGTTTGCGTCCACAATTATGGTTTCGAAGTCGACTGGAACCTTGCCGCACGCGAAGATGGCCTCTACGTGGCGCATCATCTCTGGCCCGATGCCGTGGCCTGGAAGCAGGGTGACGAAAAAGCGTCCGCCGATTTTGGACTTGCGGTGCAGAGTTCTTTTGGAACATCGTGCGGGGAAGTTCGTGGTTCTGCCGTCGCAGAACTGCAACGGCCCTTTCGAGAGGGTTCTCGCCAGCTTCTTCCAAAGACCCGCCATCATCGTCTTCTTGTGATTCTGGCAGTTCGGATTCCGCTTCTTTGTCCTCCTTTACGTTTACGAGCAGTGTACCCCAATAACGGCAGCGCGAGCGAAGGAGAATCAACAAGAGCGAGCACAACGCGTACCGCCTAGAGCCACTAAATGAGCTACGCTTAGAGTATCGGCAGTATCGGTACTCTGTTCTCCGACGTTTATATGTGAGCCGCCATCTTGGTGCTTAGTACAGAGCAGACGCAACTGCCGATCGTCATAATTAAAAAGTGAAACCTCCTCAGCATCAGATTCGGTGCGAGGAAGCTCATGCAATATTGCTTTGCTCTGTCACGAACTCTTTAAACATTGCTTTGTGGAAGACGGAAAAACGTTTTCTCTGAGTTCAGATAAAGCAATTCAGGTAACTGGCAACCGTGATTTTAAGCACCAAGATGGGTAAGTGTCGTTAGTCTGAAGTGCATCCTATTTAGTGGCTCTAGTTGTGGTGATTGGCAACGGTGTAAATATACTATTATAGGTGAGGACACTTGCACGTGGTGTCCCCGCCCCCCTCTTCAATCACAGGAAAAGGGGGGGGGGGGGGGGGGGGGGGGGGGGATGGCAAACAAGACCTCCCCCCCCGGGTCGCATATTTTTACTAGTGATGGGCCGAACTTTTGCCGAATTGAAAATTCGGCGCCGAAACTTAGGATTCGGCGGAGCCGAACTTTTGCCGAACTTTTCTAAAGATTCGGCAAAAATGCACTGTTACCAGACTTAACGTTAATATTTAGTTTTTGCTGACAAAAAAAAAAGGTTTCATGTTTTTTTTTCTTGACCTAAATACAACATGTAGTGCCTATTGACACAGTTATTACGAATAAGGTGATATTCTACAAGATAATTGTATCGGTGTCGCTTTTGGTGTTTACTTGGAATTTAGTGTCTGCTTGCGGAAAGTGGCGTGACAATGGTGGTTGGGTAGTAACCGGCGCAGTCACAAATCGCGCTACGAGAGTTTTTGTTTTCAGGCTTCATCAGCGCACGCCGGCAAGTATGTTTACATTGTTAAAATAAAAGCCATCACTGCGTTCTTACTTCCTATGGAAGTCACCGTTTCGCGCGCGAAAGCGAATGCAACGGTTGCTGAAACTTCACCAGGAGAGATTACAATATTGTAAATATGCATGTTTTTCTATTTAAGTAATTTGACGTCAGCTTTGCATGAAAGTGTGCATCCCATATTCGCAACGTCTCGTTTTTAACCTTTAAAATGCCGGTTTCTGGTGTTAGGACACACACGGACGTTTAGAAGGATGGGAAGAGTTAGGAATGTTGAATGTGCAACGTCGGGCATGATAGTTTTGTGTTTAGTTTTATGCAGATACATGAAAATCGCGAAATAACGCGAACTGAAAAGCAATATTATTTTGTTTTGGCACAAACTACTTGTGAGCCGAAAACAGAATTGTTATAATAATAATAATAATAATAATAATAATAATCATTTTATTTGCACGTAACTTTCATGTGGTAGTGTGCGGGGCTAGGCAGATAGGTGAAAACCTTTACGCAGAGCGCCTGCCAGCCCGCCACCACATGTGAAAAAAAAACACATATATATGTACAGAATATACACACTACAGAAAGTACATAAAAAGGAAAGAAAATTAGGGGGAAAACATATATTACATTATGACGAGGATGCCAGCTGCATCCCATACATCCTGGCCAGCTCTCATGACTCTGACCGTTTGCCAGCAGTGTGATGCGCACACTGAGCGTAATTGTCAGTTGTCAGTCAATGTTTCAACTACCTCGTTGCATCAATGAAAAGGTCAAATTAAAATCACGTTTTCCAGAATGTACCGCATCGTCTGTCACTTGCGCAGTGGACTACGTAAATTACTGGTCGATCTTCTGTTCTTGAGGCAGACAACATTGAAGAGAACCACACTCGCAAAGGCTCAGAAAGGCACAGTTACCGTGTTGCCTACTCCTCACCTCGCCGTAACTGCTGGTTCTGCTAAACTGTACGATGGTAACCGCACGACTGCTCGGCGTCCAATTGCAATCCATGGCCTCGTCGCGTTCGCGCGCGTGCGCAGACATTTGCCGAATTTTGCTAAATCTTTGCCGATCTTTCTTTAAAATTTCGGCACGTGCCGAATGCCGAATCTGAAGTTCGCCAGATTCGGTCCATCACTAATTTTTTTGTGGCGCAGACGACTGACCCCCTAGCAACGACTCTCACGACGGATTGGCTGCTGGGCAACGCGCGGGAACTTAAATTTCGGATTCGGACGGCGCGGTGTACACTCGAAGCGCGTTAACCCCCCACACCACCTGCGTTCACACCGCTTCGTGGCGGCAGTATGCGGCTACTAATTACAAAACTTTTAACCCATTTAGCCGCCTCCCCCCCCCCGTACATGCCGCTTTGCAGCGTCCAGCCGGCAACCCAAACCCCGCTGTCCCCCATTAACCTCCGTATAAATAGAGTCCCATACCATTTAGTTCAGCGAGGTTTCGTCGTCAACATTCGTGTTTCAAAAAAAAAAAAAAACTCGTAAATATTTCCAAATGCCTCGACAAAACAAAATGTTCGAGAGGAAACAAATAGAAGTAAGCCCACACCGTGAATCGAACCCGGGTCCGCTATGTATGAAGCAGACATCGTACCACTAAGGTATACGCTACCGCTTTGGAAACGAACGTTGCAACCGCTGATCTCTACGAACCATCCAATCCGGTGTGAGCGTCGTTGCTGGGGTGTCTATCGCCAGCGCGGGTCGGGGGGCGGTGCCCTTGGTATTCCCTGGGCGCCGCCGGCCAGTGTTTGCCCTGCCCAGTGGTGGCTGTTTCAGGGAGGGCAAAACACATACCTTGCACCCCCAATCTGAGAACTGGAGGGGGGGGGGGGGGGGGGGGGGGGGGCAAGCGCCCCCCTTGCCTGTCCGGTTGGTTCGCCCATGGGGGGGGGGGGGGGGGGTTGCGAGAGCCTATTACAGAAGCTAAAAGGATCGCAGAATAAAAAACGTACTCTAGAACAGATCAACAAAAAGGAGTGCAAGTTGTGCCTTCTATGTACAAGCTATCGCATAATTTAAAAACGATAGCTGGTAGATATGGTGTTAATCTCCTTTTTTCGGCCCCTTGCATGCTTGGCAAGATATGTAGAATGCTTATTAGGCATGAAATTGATCAATGCGCATGCCCAAAAAAATCATGCGTCATGTACACTAACTGCACAAGTAGGGTTGTTTACGAAATTCAAATTCCTTTTAGCTGTGGCCGTATTTACACTGGACAAGCGGGTCGGTGTTTCAATGAGGGAGCGCGCAAGCATAATCTTTCGGTACGAAGCAATTTGCGTGGTTCATCTTGCTGAGCACGTTAAACGATGTGGGTGTGAACCGCTTTTGAAATTGAAACAAGTTCCTGAAGAGAGCAAAGGACAAGACAGATAAAAAAAAAATTATATAGGCATTTTTTTAGCAAAAAAAGTGGGAGACAAGTTGCGTCAGCAAGCCGTCTGTATGTCTCATTGACAAAGAAAGATTTATCTTTTTCTTGGTGGTTTCATCTGAAGATAGGCGCGTGGCAGACTTAATGTTTAACTATATGTTTGTGTTTTTTATGCCCGCGGGCGATGGTTGGATGATGCAATAGTCCCCCTTTCGAACGTCACGTGCCGATTATTAGAGAGTGGAAACCACTGCACAATGGCGGAACAACTGCGTCAAGGAACCTGCAAGTCATTCCATAAGATAGCGAGCGTCGGAGCGCGGTCAACACTATAGAGCCGACGAGCGAATCAAACAACGTCGAAAGTGCAACGTCACGGTGTTGACCACCTTTTTTTCCGTGGGAGTCCTTTCGAAATTCTGCCCCTGTTGTTGGCTGTGGAATCCTTGCACAGTGGCGGACTAAAACCGCAACATCCGGCACACGTTATGCGTTCGGTTGGATTAGAAGGCACAGAATTCAATAAACCTAGTTGGAAGTCCGAGTCAGCACCAGTCCTGTCGTATACATGTGTCTTTCTTAGTCCTCGTCAGTTCGCGCTGCTTTAATCAGGGGCTAGCTGGGCTGGTACGAACCAACTAACCCAACCAAAGTCGTGTTATATATTTCAAAAATACTGACAATGCCTGCCTTCCTACGCGTTTGTGAAGTTGCTCGGAAGCAACGTCTCCGCACGGGATGAGGGAGGGGGAGGTAAAATTTTTTGAGATGGGTGAGAGAGGGGGGCAATTAGTGGTGGGCAGTTTGGAGACAGAATGTGGCGACAAATCTCCCAGGTAAAATTAAAAACTCTCCGCCTATGCTAAGGTTAACAACGCAAGATCAATCACACACACCGACACACAAAAGGTCGCACACACGCGCTGTTAACCTTAGAATGTTTTCCTTCTGTGTGTCGGTGGTGTGTGATTGATCTTTCGCTGTTAACCTTAGAATATGAATCACCAACTCGCCCAAGTTTCCATTTTATCTCCGCCTATGGTTCTCTGACTAAGCAAAATGCGGAAAAGCGCAGATGGCCTTGTTCGTGCTAACAGCTAACAGTATCGTGCAGTACGTCCTGTGCGTGATTAACTTAGCTAGTTTATTGATAAAATAAATATATACGCAAGGCGATCTCGTGTTGAAAACTGCCGAATCAACCACGTAGGCGAACGAACCCTATCAGAACACGTCCGAGGTTGTACTTTGCCTGACCCGCAGAGGACAAACCTGCAGCGACTTTCCTTTCAGTCTCGTCGGACGGAGGCGATTTTTCACACACACGCGTCGACCATAGCCCCTCCCCGAGCCAGGGTCATTATACCCGCGGAGACAACTCCATTCATGTTTCAGTCGATATGCTGTGGCTCATTTGCCCTGGTCAACAAAAACTGACGGATGCGCTACGCTGCTTGTGCTAGCATTCGTTTTCACGGAGACGACGATCAATATGCACCATGATACTCTAAACTTCTGGGAAATTTGTCATGGTGAAAACTGCAGGGAAGAGTTTC